AGGACCTACATTCCACATATCCGGTTATATGGCTGTGCGTAAAAGGAGGGCAATGCTGATACAGGACTACGTACCTGTGTGCACATACACACTCGCATATTCATTCATGCATACAGGCAGAGCTACTGTTGTAGACTTCGGTTCGTACTGCTGCAAAGAGACCACATGTCTGTGTTTCCAGTAGACTATGTGCGTTAATTTCGGAACACTGGTTTCTGTCGGAATATCAGTTTGCTCGTAGTTCTGGCTTCTTGTTCGATTTGAATAGACTAAACGTATCGGTATGGGAAGTACAAATTTTATGTGTAACGTGACTGACAGAATGACGGACTGGCTTACTAAATAAATCTATGGTAGTGGAACGCGAAGGTTCAAAGAGGCCCGCCTGAAACAAGATCTTGTCTGATTCAACCTACCTTCCAGCCTTTAAAATCTTTTATGGCTGCCTTTTGAGTTGTAGTGCAGCGTAATCTGGTAGACATTTTTCAATGTTTCAGAGGTTTTTGCTGCAACCATCATCAGGGCGATGACCCGGAAGACAACCATCTTTATCATATTCACCGCTGTGAGAATTCTACCTTTGTCTTGCTTGTATTATGATTATCTCTTTTCAGTCTTGGTATCCAAAAAGACGGTTTTTGAGGGGCTTTCCAACCTAAATTGTTCAAGTATTTCTTATCACTCAGCCTGACTTAGTATCAGTCTTCGTACACAAAGTTCTCGTTATGATATTATCTTAAATTTCCCTTTTCATCTTTCGTGGAGCCAGATATTTCCTTCCTGCATTTCAAACACTTGTAATTTAGGTTTGTATTTTAAGTCCTTCAGAGTAAAGGATTACGCTGAAGCCCTGCGTTTAGTATTATTTGGGTACCTTTTGTTGGGGTAGTGGAGAGCGTGTTTAGCGCACAATTTAACTCTGTGGGTCAACATGCCCAAGGCTACAGTTTCCACATGTTTAATAATTTACAATTACCGTGAAATAATGAAATGACTCTCCATCAAACAACACATTATTGTAACATTATAAAATATTAATTTTGGAAATAAAATATTTTCCATGCTGTACAAACCACCGACAGCCATTTTCGTGGAAATTACACTTCAAATGAGCAGCATACAGACATCGTAACATGTGTGACATGTGTTCTGGACTTACGTACACCTTCGAATCTGGGGCGGGGCACTAGCTTCCCGTACTTTTATTCAGTCCCTTCAAGGAATTTGCGAAATCACATTAAATAAGGCAGTGCCAGTTACTATTATATCTTGTCCTGTTCACAGCAGGCCAGTAGGAGCCTGTCATGGTCTTAGTACATTTGTCACTGATTAACCTCGGTATTACATATAGCATTAGTGAATGAACAAATAAGAATATTGCAATAAAATCTCTTCAAAATGGAGTCGTAGTCCTAAGTTCCAGAGACACTCTGAAACGTTGGACTACGATTCCATTTTGACGCGGCTTGTAGCCCAAGAAGATTTGATTGCATTTAGTCGCTGGAAGAAAGCCTCAAGTCTTATACAGTAAGAATATTGGTTAGTAAATATGAATGTACTTACATGGAGCGGAAACGTATCAAACGTGTTTGTTGTTGGTACAAATTACGATTATCGGCAAGGCCTTCTGCCTGAAGTATTTATTATTGTCGTCAGACCATACCATCTAGTAGGCCATAGTTGCCTCTTTCTAGAGCCGTATCTTCTCAACACCACATTCTACCAGATAACATAAGTAATCGGGTATTCGATTTTCCCACTCCACAATTGTCATCCACACTTTGTGGTTGCTGCTTTTTATTTATTCGGTTCTTCACGACGATGTTACACCATCTGAGGTTTCATAATGTTGAACGAGATTTAGTAGGACGATTACAAATGATGAATCGGTGGGAAGCTGTCGTTGCCTGTTCTAGCCCTTACGCGGTCACGACGCATGGCGTCACGTATGGGGGAACTAGCTCTCTGTCGGATTGAAGAAATTCCCCACGCTTTTCGTATAACATGTTAGAGAGAGACTGATAACCGACGTTTTATCTCTATCAGTGTATTAGAACCCTATGTACCACTTGGCTCAATAATCATTATTTTTGCGTTTTGCTCACGAAATATATTTTTCGGTTGAATATGAGTCTCAGAGCAGACAGCTTTAATCTGTTGGTCCTTGTAATGGTTATAAATTCTTTTCCTTGACGTAAGGACTAAATGTTTAAATATTAAAACGAGCATCGGCTTCAAATCGTTAAATTTCTCTGCTTGTAGTTCTTCAGTGGGAGTTTATTGTTTATTTTCAAAACAAAATATTGCAATTTTCGGCTCTTAGGCTATTTTATTTTGTAGACTACTTAGTACATTGTTTTACATAATACGAAGCAGAGCGGTGTAAAATGTGACTTCTGACAGACAGTTCTGTTAACCTGAATCTGTAACAAATAAAATGTCAGTCGCAGGCAAATTGCGATGTGCGTGTTACAAGGTGAGAAATACTAATTTGCTTTAATATATTATAGATATTTCGGTCTCTAAAGGTAGGCTGTTTAGGAGTAACAGTGATCGAGTATAGTTAATATGATATCCCGGCATTTTAGGGGAAGGTCTGAGGAAGCCCACTGAAACTTTTAGACTAGAAAGCCGGTCTGATTATCCACGTTACTAACCGTATGACTCCAGTTCATTTGATACACCTAGTGGACATGTTACGGGCAGCAAACTTTTTAACTTTATAAGGCGCATCGGTAATTTGCCACTTATTTTCAGGAACTCTTAAATTTGTGCCTCAGAGTATTACATCATTCCTTTTTGCAAATAAATTTAATTGTAGATTACGATTTTCTCTTTATAGTAATTTGTTTTATTTAATTTTCTTTTACCAGTTGTAAACATCGCAAGATGAAATGTTGTCATACAGTAATACATTTAAAATAATTTTAAATTCATGGAAGTGTTAGTATGAAAACTGGTCACACGTTGTAGAACCTGAAAACTTGCTCTGACCGACATCACATACGAAAATGGACTCTTAGATTTCAACCTCGAAGTACCAGGCATGTGAAACATTTTCGGAGCACTGAGGAATGCAGTTATTTGTGGAGATGAAGTAATTAGTTCGTCGAACATGGTTCCCTCCTGCTGTTTAGATCATGGAACTGATTGGATTTAATCCAATGCGTTGGATGCTTATGTAGCTCCACAACAAGCCTCGTTGACCAAACGTGGCGTACACAGATCTCTTGATTTGTCTGCGTAGCCTGTCTCTTAAGCAGTAAATATTCTACCACGAGCCCACACTGACAGACTCATAGCTCATTAATAATAATTGGTTTACTAGTTGAGATTCGAAGCCAAGACCTCAAGAAAGTGAAGCAGTATTGCTAACCACCACAACCAGTTTGCAGTATGTCAAGTTTGCCCGCAAGCAAAAGCCTTGTTCTGAAAGCGTTCTAACCAAAGCGAAAATTGTATTGTTACGTGTTAACCCTTTAAACCAGAAGCTCGCCTAAACAGTGTTTAATAATTCAGTCCGAACAGCAAAGAAACCCTCGCACTTCACCATTGCAATGATCAATTTCCCCCGCACTTCACCATTGCAATGATCAATTTGTTAACGCTGTTTAAGGAAATTATAGCTGTTTACAGTAAGAATCGTAAAAGACACAAATAAAAAATGCAATACTTAGCACTAGGCTTTAAAATATTTTTTCTCTGTCCTGTAAAAGCACCGTAAACAAGGACTAGGAATTTCAAATTTACTTGAAGCCTCATAAAATTCATAGGTATACCTACGGGACTTGCAATGTCAGTGAGAGACATGAAAGTTAAAAAAGGAGAGAATGCTGGCGAACTTGCTCAATTTGACATTAAAACAGCTTCAGGCAACGTTTCTTTATTGAGCGCGGTTCGGATACTGATTGGAAGTAAGGGCTTATTCAATATACACACTTTTAATGCACCGACTCGCTTGCAGACGCGGTCTGAATCGATAAGTAACCTCTACGGCTCGCGTTACTGGTTTAAAACTTACAACACTAACACCAACTTTCAGTTTTCAAAGACGCGTATTTCCTTTGGGTCAAATATCATTGTTCCGTGACTGGAAGTTCATTTTGAACATATTGTCAGTGATATTTAACTGTATGTTTCCTTACTTTTTACAGTTTGTTTCTAAAGAACATTTCTTTCTGTATTACGAGGAATTTTGGATTTAGAGGTTTGTTGGTTGGTTGCTTGCTTGCTTGGACGGTTGCTAAACTGTTTTACGATGCTTTTTTGTGCCGATACTGTGTGATTGGACTTGCCCGAAGGAATCATGTGCTATTTCAAAGTATCATACCTTCATGTAACTGGAGGCACCGAGTAAAACCACAGCCCATCAATGTCAGTTTTGACTGTCGGTCTCTGTGCTTGTATTCGAGCTTTAAGTATCCCAGATACCGACGAGATGTGCCACCTAAAAGTAGGATTTTAGGTTCCCACGGCAGCGTGTGTTAGACGCCTGTCGTCCGGGCTGCTAACGCCGTCTAGTCTGGTAGAAATTTACCGAATTTTCTGGGGTGCTTGCGAGTACTCATTGCCCTAATGATGGAGGCAGCAAGCAACTCTGAAACGTCGGTAAATTTCTGCCAGACTGTACGGCGTTAATAACCCAGAAGTCGGCCATCATAATCGCGAAACCACGTAAAACGTTTTCTCCAGAAAACAAATAGTATAAAATCAGCGGAGGAAAAGTGGACAGTTTTCAAACAGAGTGAGACTAAGAGATGAAATAAACTGTGTTGTACTTGTAAGTACTTGTGGAAGTAAACAAAAAGGTGTGGCCTACTCAAGTTACTCATTAACAAAACACGGGGTTGTCTTTCTCTGCATGTACTTCAACAGCTATCTGTTGTTTAAGACACCTGTAATCCCTACTGCTCGTATTTAATGAAGTGCTACAATTGTTAGTCTTTCATGCAGAATGAACCTTTGTATCCAAGTTAGAGTTCAAGAGATAAAGATGAAAATCCTCTACAATCCTTTCACTTTGTTCGCTTTGAATAGCCACACGTGAAAAGAAGACATTTATTGAAGCTTTAACTATTGGAGTAGATGTTTCTGGATTACAAGTTCTGTAGTGAAGGTTTAGCCCTGCTAATTGAGTAGATCACATTTGTAGTTTGATCGTAGGTTCCTGTTTAAATAAAAAAATACTATAAGAAACGCTTTAAGGCTGTAATCCATAGAGATCGATCGATACTGCCTATCGACACTGCTTGCTTCGATGGAAGTCTCTCGGCTGATCTGTTATTCCAGGACTTCTAATGTTTGCAGGCGAACAGTCTGGAGACAGAATAGTAATCTTTAGCATAAATTCGTTAAGGAGGGTTGAGATTTAAACAAGTACAGAAATTACTTGTGCTGTAATAAGTCTTGTTTCTTTCTTTATTTCCTAAAGGCATTGTGCCAAATAGGTACTTAATGGTTCGATGATTTTATTTATTATATTTTATTTTTGAGGTGTCTGTACAGAGGTTGTGTCCGCCTAATACCAGGGGTTCAATGTAATTTCGTATGTAATTGACTTGCACATTCTTCCCCAGAAGTATAACCAATGAGAGCAGACATATGAAATGGCTTTGCACCAGCGAAGAAAGCAATGCTGCACTGACTGACGCAAATAAATAATAAAGTAAATAAACGTAATTGTCATAAATGTACTGTAATGGTATTTATTTATGAAGAAACTGTGTAAATGTTCTAAGCTGTTCGTTGTCATAGACCTTCAATGTTTGTCAGTGCCTTACAGTTAATCAAATCGACAGTTTGATTCGCGTTACTTCTGAGTTGCACTTTGCTACGAAGTGCTTTCTGGTGTTAATGCTTCTGTACCTTATCTGTTATTGTGAGGGGTTCCGATAGGAGGTCCGCACTGCGTCAGACTCAGGTGTCATGTTCTTACAAACATACCTAACCTAACACACAGCGTCCTTATTCAGAAGATTCGTGTTCCGGAAGACGGTTGACGCTTCGAGGGTCAGGATGGTGCGAGGAAGGGGGACTGGCGACTAAGCCATGTGCTGGTGTTTATCCACCATTAAGTGGATGGTTTTCTCAACCGGAAACAGTTTTCTTGCCAGTGATAAAACTTTGCTGGTGCTGCTCCGACTGGGTCAACGAGGGGATTTGCTTGTTTCTGCTCCTGAAAACTTTTCACCAGGAAAATCAATATTTTGGATCATTTCATTGTGCTTGAAAAGACTGCTCTATAAAACTAGTGATACATATTGAACAACGATAATAAAAATGTTTTTAGACTACTGAAAGTTTGTTATCTCAGTAAGGCTGAATGCTTCGTTTATGGGCTCGGAGTAAATCTGCTACGGACACATAAACTACAGGATATGGCGGTTCGTACTTCTGGTTTGCACTCGAACGAACCCTTTTATAGGTTTTTGAATCAGAACTTCTATCACACGGATTTCTTTTCTTTTTAACCGGGGAGAAGACAATTCCTTGTAGACATCCTGTCGCTCGTGGCTCGCATCCGACTCGGGACCTTGACTGACATTTTCTTTCACACACGATCGAAAGATTTTTTGTCCATTTTCTGGGGTGGAGAACAACGAAGTGCCAACAAAGGTGATTATGTGTTTTGCAGGCTTTTGTTTTTAGCTCCATTTGATAAGAATTTGTAGATTTTCGTCAGTCCTTTAGCTATTTGAAATAAGGAGTTTTTAATAGATTTTCGTGAGTCCTGTACAGTTTTAGCTATTTGAAATAAGGAGTTTTTATCTTTCCTCTTTCAGAAGCCACGTAACGTATAGGAACTTTTCAGGACTCCTTGGATGATGTCTGTTTTATAGTTTGTTAGGAAGATAAATCATGAGGACGGACGGACAACTTTCCCATTACATATTTACGTACATTGTACAAAAATAAAACCAGTAAATAAAAATTGTGAACTTAGAAGAGCATGAAAAGAATAGGATGAAAAGTGATACAAGAACCGTGCCGAGGAAGAATGTAAATATTAATGTAGAAGAGAAGATAAAACGCACAAAAGAGAAACGTTGAAGATCCAGGCTCCTGTTACAGAGAGATAATCACTCTGCAGCGTAAAGACAAACAGAACAATATTTTTCATTGAAGTGACATGCTGGGCGCTGTTCTTTCCGTCTGCAATTTGCCAGAACGTGATTTCTAAAACATATATTTTTAGGAATTTAGTCGTGTTCAGTGGACTGCAGATTTTTAGTAGATTTTAGTTCAAAATACTGAGGTTTACTTAAGAAGTCTTGAGTAACTGATAGAGTGATGTGTCAGGCGTTAATCTTTTCTCTATGTTTTACAGACGTGGAATTACATGATAAGCGACAAATATTGTGCAGCATAGGACGGCTAGCAGAGGTGAATCCATTTATATGGAGAAGCGATAGCTATTGTTTTAAAATTATTTGAAAACAAGCTTTCAGATTTTAATTTCGCATGATCTAAGAATTAATAATAACTGCATGTTACTGCATAGATTTTCTGCCCGATTCCCTGGCATAAATCTTGTTTTCTGATTAGATTCTTATGTCTTATTGTCCTAAGGGATTTTTAGTTCCGTAGGTGGCTGGAATTTGGATTGGAATCAAAAAGCCCCGCTTATGAGCATGAGTTTTAATCATAATAAGATTATATTTGTTGAATTGCTCAAACTGTACACAGCACGTAGTCTGCTTGCTTTACAAGACATATAGGTAGTTCACTAAGTTGTGTAATATTCGTCTGAAATATTTTGCTGTTTGGCGAGACACTGAGATGAAGACAAGAAGTTCAGGTAAAGCATCAGTCCAGATTGGTCGACATAGTTGAAACTAACACTACATTTACTTGTCGTTTTGCAGACGAAGTTTAATAAACTTTCATGGCGCGGCAGATGGGAGGACATTTAGATAGACCAACAGACACGAACTCACAGACATTCCTCTAGTTAACCTAAATGCTTTCTGACCGTAAACCTTAATCAAGATAAGATTTACCGGAATTCAACTCCGGTGTTTTGTGATCGCGATTTAGATGTTTTTTCGCTTAATAATTGCGTACTGTCCTGCTTCTTAGTTGTGGCCAGTGTAAAATGAACGCGCAATGGATATGGTCGAGGTCACTAGTGGAGACAGGATATTGAAGGTATCGTTTGACAGTTAGTTAAAGACAAGTGAATGAGCCAAACTCTTTTATTGCGAGCTTTCTTCAATCACAACCCAACACCCGCAGCTACGTTTTACTGCCATTATTCCCCAGCGTACCATTCGGCGACCGGGACAAAAAACCCAGACAGTGTGTAATTAATGAATGTGATGAATTATGACAACCACGCCTTTTTGCCTCTTTCATGAAGAAGAAGCAGAAGACAGAGGGAGTATTTGATTAAGAGGAGTGTGTGACTCTCACGTGATACAGAACTGTACGCTCTGTTCAACAGCAGATACGTTCAGCTTCTGCTTGCTTTTATTTTCCGTTCTGTGGTCAATTTAGCTGCTTACAATAAACACAAACTTGAGAAAATTACTATGCAGTTCATTTTTTCGTTCTGATCTTTGGTATTCGAAAATTATAGTATTAGATTATTTAATTAGGGGCTGATGATGACAAAGGCAGCAAGTACCTCTGAAACGTCGGTAAACTTGTACAAGACTACGCGGCGCTACAAGCCAGAAGACAGCCATCTTCATGAGAACTTTAAATCTTACCAAGGTGAAGGTCGTTACGCTGAAGAAATCATGGTTACTACCATTTGGAATACTTTTGTAGCTACGTGTTAACGCAGCTAGTCTACGGGAACTGTTTAGGAAAATATAATTGTAAGATACGGGATTTTCTTCCAATTAGAACACAGTAATTAATTGAAAGTTTGTGAAACCTAGTCAATGAAAACATAAGATAAAGTATGATTTTCATAATCATGATAACATTATTGAAGCTTTAAATAGGCCTCGATTGTATTACTTCGGCTACTTCTACAGATGTGTGTCGACTTTACATACAAATGACTAATTATTTACTAAAAATTTTAATCGTAAAACTCGAAAGTAAGGAACAGTCATTATCAATCAGCCTGTGAAGGTAATCCCACTTTTTATGGGACCTGAATGTTCATGACTGTGTTCTCAAGAGCCAGAACTGAGCCAGTCTTCACATTTTATCCAACGTCACATGGTTGTCTGTACTTAGTACAACGTCGTTAAATATCTCATTTCTCTCGCGTGCACATACTGACACAGGGATGAGTTTAACTAACTTCATTGAGCAGATTCCTTCTTGAAAAGTTTATAGTACGTTCAGCTACACAAGAAATTCGACGGCTTTTATGGAACCCAAAGGTTCATTATGGTGTTCAGAAGAGTCCAAAGAAAGATGAGAGTGAAGGGGACGTATAACACGAACACCAGAAGAAAGTGATGTACATAAGAGTTGGGTTATAAAACCTTAAGCAAAGGACCAGTTCGTCTGTCTAGCCATAGATGCGAAGATAATATTAAACTGAGTCAGGGAAACGGGATCCAATGACAGCTTTTTTTATGAGGACGATAAACCCTAGGGTTGCATAAATTTAGGGAGTCTTGCTGGGCTGAATATGGTCACGCTGTCTACTTCACATTGAATTTCGTGTCTGTGCACTTGCTATGTCGGACAGATGGCTGATTCATAATGGGAATCATTTTGAAACAGGTGTAAATGTAGTTCCAACGTCAAACCAATGACACTTTGGATCGACAAATAAGCTAGTTACGTTACCGACCCGAAGTATAGTTGTGTGGGGACCGTAAAACAGAGAATATAATCCACTTACAACCCTCACATTTCTGACCACAACTCACAGGAGCGGCCAGGTCATACTAACTTATGATAAAGCTCTGCAGAACGAGGTTTGTTCCAAGAACTCCCGTGTTCACTGCCGACAGGTGCTCAGTACTACAGATGAAACGACGCTTTATAGCCATAGCAGTTGATAAATGGTTGTTAAATAACCAGTCATTATGGCAGGAAAATTATACCCTGTATACTAAATTAGCTGTTCCTGAATTTTCCCTTTGTCACCACAGAAACATATAAGTATCTCCCACGAATTTTAATTTATGCACGAGAGATACGATATTTTATTATCTCCCTCACTCTTCCACATTAGCCCCTGCGAGAAGTAACGAAGAAGTACAGATCAGTTGGTGTAGCTACGAGGGTCGCTCATTAAATAATGTCCCACATTTTTTTCTTCAGAATATATTTATTCAAGATGGCTGAAATCTAGTGACAATATAAATTAATGTTTCCTCTACACATACTATTATTCTACATAGTCTCCATCAACTTGTACGGTTTTACGCCATTTTAACAGTTCACTACAGCTCCGTCATCTATTGGAATCATTTGAAACACAGTACAATAACGCGGGAAACATCAATTTTCAAGCATGTAAAAGTACGTATATGCGTGAGAAAATAGTACTACGAATGGCCTTTCAAAGACCAATATTTGGGTAACTAGCGGGCCTATTTTGTCGTGACTTCCATATGACCTTCACCTATACATGGCCTCCTAGTGACATGAGTATGGTCAACCAGGTATTTACGGTTTGGCAGACATAAGAGTGATAAGATATGACGTTGAGAAACTTACAGACCTGTATCTGCAAAATTACTGGACCGATCTTATCGTGACTTCCATATGACCTTGATCTTTACGTCACCTCATTTTGACATTAGTACGGTGAAGCAGGGATGTACGGTATGGCCGAAATACGGGTGAAATCTGGCAAACTATTCTGCCGAACTCGTTCTGACTTCCACATAAACTTGACCTATACGTGGCTTGATTTTGACACGAGTATGGTCAACCAGGTATTCACCGTTTTGCAGAAATAAGCGTGAAAAGATATGACCTTGATAATTTCAAAGACCCATATCTTGGAAACTAGTAGACCGATTTTGTCGTCAATTCCGTAAGAACTTGACGTCTACGTGACCTCATACTGCCACGAGTATGTTCAACAAAGAATTTACGGTTTAGCAGAAATAAACGAGAAGAGATATGACCTTGAAAATTTTAAAGACCCGTATCTGGCAAACTATTCTGCCGATCTGGTTGTGACTTCCATATAAACTTGACCTATACGTGGCTTGATTTTGACACGGGTATGGTCAACCAGATATTCACCGTTTCGCAG